GACAGAAACAGGAGCGAGGCACCCGTGGTGGTGCATTGCAGGTGATTTGTTTTGTTGATTTGTTTTGATTGATTGATTTGATCTGATTTTGAAGTGGTGTGAGTGATTTACGGGGGGGGGGTTGACCGGGCCATCTGAATTTGACCAGAATTTGAAAATTTGATGGGTGGATGGTTGGCTTTAGAGCTGCAAGAGAGAGAGATTTGGTGAGGTGGTCCTGCAGCGATCGCAGGCAGGCAGCTCTATTACCGAGCGTTTTGTTAACGTGTTGATGTGTATTGTTTTGTGTTGTTGAGTGGTTGGCTTTTAATATGGAGATTTGGTCTCGGTGTAGAGTGTTTTAGATGAATGAAGCGAACGGTTTATTTAGGGTTTATTTTGATATAATACCGGTGGTAAGATAAAGCTTAGGGGTCAAAGGTCAGGACAGTATCACTGGGTATTAGTGGTGCAATTTCGTAGGTCGAGATTATCGCAGAATAGACGTTTACATGAGTATGGCATTATATTATTATTATTGGAATTATTATTGTTATTATTATTTTGATTATTATTATTTTGATTATTATTATTATTATTATTATTATTTTGATTATTATTATCGTTAGTAAGACTGCCGTGATCTCCAGAGTCTAGTGAGCGTGTTCGCTGAGCTTGACCTTCTCCCTGTTGGAGTTGTTTTAGCCAAAAAGTGACCTGAAATTGGAAATTTTGGTACCAAATTTGGATTTTTTAAATTTTTAATTTTTTTGATTTTGGTTTTTTTTTTCAAAAAATTGAATTGAATTGAACCTGTTCTCGAGTGTAGTTGAGAAGGTATTTGAGCGCGCGTTCGGCGTCGAGTCTGCTGTTGCAGCTCTCTAGCAGCACCTCCCGGGTGCACATTATGTCGCACGCCAAAACGCGACATTTGTGGGCGTAACCTGGAGATTTTTAGTAGTATTGTTATTGTTTTTAGTATTTTTGAGAATATTTATTATTATATATAATATTTATTATTATTTATGTAATATTTATTGTTATATATAATATTTATTATTGTTATTTTTATTGGAATTTACGAACCAATGAGCGATTTATCCGTTTGAGTTAAACCATCGTAAGGACCACAACGTTGCGCACCACATTGCCGTTGTAGCGCCGGGGTGGCTTTCGTGTAGCATGACAGAAGGGATTCCATCTGAATGCGGAGAGAAATTTGAGAATTTGGTGATTTAGATTTAGAGCTGCAACAGATTAAGGGGTCCTGCAGCGATCAGGTTTAGAGGTCAAAGGTCAATTGGCATACCTCGGCATAGTGTTGTTTGCAAACGAAATCGCGCATATTGAATTGCACGGTGAAGCCGCACTCTCGTAGGCATTTGTCGTGTTCTGAGTCGTAGCGACAGAATAGCATCAGATCAGTGGCATCCACCACTGGGGGCACTCCAATTGAGCCGAATCCCTGGTGGACCTGGGAGGGGGTCAAAGGTCAAAGGTCAACTGGGTATTTTATTGTATATACGTTATTATTTATTATTATTATAATTATTATTATGTATAAAAGGGTATTTGATTATTATATATAATAATATTAATGTATCTGGAATGAATTTTTTTCGCGCCAAAAATTAAAATTTTGACCTAAATTTGGTCAAAATGGCGGTAAAATATACATTTCGCGCTTTCTCTCGCTCTCTAGCACTCTCTTTGAGAGTACGCAATGATTAGTGATCTCTCGTTCTCTGGGAGCAGATAGTGTTGCATCGGAGAGAGGCAGACAGCGAAAGGTTAAGGTAGGAGACGGAGAGGACAGTCGTTAATTAAGTGTCAGTTAAATTTTGCAATCAGTGTGCGTTGTGTTGGTACCACTGAGTGGTCGGTCGGGTGTTGGGCTGTGTGGTGAGGTGTTGCGTATTGTTTATTATTGGGTGACGTGGGTGTACTGTTCATTGGGTGTATATTATTATTATTGTATATGTGCTATAATATTTTACAATATTAATTACTACATTACTAATTATTACTGGTTACTTCATTACTACGCAATTACTACATTATTATGTAACTGATAAGGTTATCAGTACTTATCAGTGGCTTATCACTAGGTTATCAGCGGATC